AGTTCATCATCATCATCATCATCATCATCATCATCATCATCATCATCATCATCATCATCATCATCATCATCATCATCATCATCATCATCATCATCATAAAGTATCACAGGTCGCTGGGACCAGGTTAAGCTAGCGAGACTGCGGTCGGACCATCATTTGAGCTTGAGATGGTATAAGAATTTTGTAAATTAAGAGCTCAGCTCACGTTGCCGAAGATGCGGCCATGAAAAGGAGGATGTCACACATATGTTTGAATGTCCAGGAACAATGGCAATTCGAATGGAGTTACTTGGACGAGTACAGGTGCCTCTAAGTATTTTGACAATGGAGCCGAAAAAAAGCCTCGCTCTTGCTCGAAGATTTTTTCGTGGAGTCCACCAAGTCCATTAGGGAAACAAAAAACAAACAAACAAACAAACCAAAAATCATCATCATCATCATCACCATCATCATCATCATCATCATCATCATCATTGCTGTACACAGTAGAACAATATGTCATGGAGACTTGGGTATGGATTATAATATTATACATTTCAGGCATGTTAAGTGTATAATATTGTATTTTTAAACAATATTCAATGCTTTCTGAGGGTTTTGATTTCAAATAAAGTGTTCAAAAGTGTTATTTGATGTAAAGACTTATACTATTATATCCCTCAAAATCAAATCGGACGGCAACCCAGAACGCAGGGACAGTCAGTTCTTCTTGGAAGATTGTGCACACCCACTAAGATTATTGTGCAAGCGCCACCCCTTCCCATCTCCCTACTCCCACCCCCACCCGCACCGCCTCACTCCCACTCCCACTCCCACGTGCCGGTGTTAGTTAGTCAGGCCCGTCCGCGGTGTGAACAGGCGGTGATTCTGTGAGTGAGTGTGAGGCACGCGTCAACAAAGTAAGTAGACTTTCGACAATAATAATAATAATAAATATCTGTGTTTGGTGAAGATGGAAGGGTGGTTAGCAGCGCTCTTGTAAGCTACAGGCTCGTTTTTATCTTATAAATGTCCCAGTTATTCTTATCATCGGTACTCTGTTCAAACACTCTAAGTGTTAGTCCAGAAAGCTAATTTTTTTTCAGGAGAGGAAAAAATCATTTTTCTGAAAAAGTTGTTCCTACAGTAGATCTATGTAAACTATGTACATTTGTTTGGTTTATTCATCATTTAGATTTTGAATTTTGACAAACTATTTTTAAAGTAGGATCGTTGCCATTCTGACTCGTCGAGATCCTTAACACAGTCAAGAAAAATAAATATTATTTTTTTCATCAATGAGAGAATCTACTATTGCGGTACAGAGTGGTGCTTAAAAGGAAAAAAAAGACCTATTGCTTATCTATCCTAACATTTCAGTTAGGCTGCTGACTTGTTGAGTAGGGGACCCCTGCGTGAGTCCATTTTAAGGATACATGTACTACGATAAAAAAGTAAAGTAAAGTTGTTCCCTCATCCGATCCGGACATTAGGAATTGCCTATTGTTAGTGAGACAACTTCCTGTGCCTTCGGCATATTGTGGTAAGTAGGGTGGCCAGTTCCTTTCCACGCCGCCTTTACTTCCTCAACTCGAAGTCAGGTACCCATTACTGCTGGATGGGCAGGAGGGAGCGAAAAAAATGCGTGTCCGAACGGAGGCTCGAACCTATTGCGATAGCTTGCGATATTATCACTCAGCATACGTATTGTATAGCGGTAAACCCCCCCCAACCCCCCCCCCAACAAAACAAACAAACTCCCCCCAAAAAACAACCTAAACAACTGAACTATAAAGACATCTCATCACGTGTCGACATAATATTGTGCTATGGTTCGTTCAGCAGTTTGAAAAAGACCCAGACTGGGTAAACCAAATCGTTAATATGGGTCTCGGATCAACCTCATTTTCATATATAGTTGCAAATCAGTTTTAAAAATTCTGTATTATGGGCCATTCACCCATCCGATTGTGATTGTGCTCATAAGCCCACATTTCATACAGAGAAGTGCACAGATTAGGTGGCACTCAGCAGCCACGCTATTATTGGTCCACTCTCGTTTGAGGAGAACAACAAGACCGCTAGTGTGACAAGTGAACGGTACGTTGCGGTCCGAAAGAAATTCTAGGCAGGTCTAAGTCTAAGGAGGAGGCTGCTATAATGAGTAGCACGGATTCAGCAGGATGTAGCCACACCCCGTACAGTCAATGTTTTCCAAACTTGGCTCCATGATAATTTCCAGAACCGAGTCATCAGCCACAAAACGAAAGGATTTATTTATACATGTATATTTTTTATAGCGGTTCATTACCGTGAGGGTTTACCATAATACCCTCAAACATTTGACAAGTTGAATAATTATGAACGTTACAAATCGAATTCGCGACGTGGACCAGCACTTATTCACCCGTGTGATTGCACAGAGGAAAAGCAAAACAAAACTAAACTAATTCTTAAATTATGAATGTTCATGTTTGAAACTACTGGAATCAGAAGAAAAACGTTTTTGAGCCGATCTTTTCAATTTAAAACTTTGATTTGAACTTTTACTCAAAATTTGATGTTAAATATTAAAGTGTAAAACAATTTGATTTGAATAATTAATAGATGAAAACGTTTCAAGGCATTTTATTGAGCATATTATTATTTTACATATTCTCCTCATCACTTTTTGTCCCCCCCCCCTCCAGAAA